ACAATAAAAATTAAATTAATTCATTTTAATTCGTTTAACCGATGAAGAACATAAAGAACCAAAAAGAAAAAAATACAATCTTATAATTAATTTAATTTGGCCTTGTTATTGAAATTCCCTATTAGGCAATAAATTTGTTGTTTTTTAAATTACAATAAAAATAAAATTAATTCATTTTAATTCGTTTAACCGATGAAGAACATAAAGAACCAAAAAGAAAAAATACAATCGTATAATTAATTTAATTTGGCCTTGTCATTGAAATTCCCTATTAGGCAATAAATTTGTTGTTTTTAAATTACAATAAAAATAAAATTAATTCATTTTAATTCGTTTAACCGATGAAGAACATAAAGAACCAAAAAGAAAAAATACAATCGTATAATTAATTTAATTTGGCCTTGTTATTGAAATTCCCTATTAGGCAATAAGTTTGTTGTTTTTTAAATTACAATAAAAATAAAATTAATTCATTTTAATTCGTTTAACCGATGAAGAACATAAAGAACCAAAAAGAAAAAATACAATCTTATAATTAATTTAATTTGGCCTTGTTATTGAAATTCCCTATTAGGCAATAAATTTGTTGTTTTTTAAATTACAATAAAAATAAAATTAATTCATTTTAATTCGTTTAACCGATGAAGAACATAAAGAACCAAAAATAAAAAATACAATCGTATAATTAATTTAATTTGGCCTTGTTATTGAAATTCCCTATTAGGCAATAAATTTGTTGTTTTTTAAATTACAGTAAAAATAAAATTAATTAATTTTAATTCGTTTAACCGATGAAGAACATAAAGAACCAAAAAGAAAAAATACAATCGTATAATTAATTTAATTTGGCCTTGATATTGAAATTCCCTATTAGGCAATAAATTTGTTGTTTTTTAAATTACAATAAAAATAAAATTAATTCATTTTAATTCGTTTAACCGATGAAGAACATAAAGAACCAAAAAGAAAAAAAATACAATTGTATAAAATGATTGGCAGGACACCTGTTACTAACCAATTCATAAACTGCAACCGAATTGTATAAAAAAAGGATTTATTTCAAAACTTCACAAACTGCCGCAGAACAATACACTTTTTTATAACGTTCAGTCCAAAATCCTTAAAAAATCTCTCCTTAAAAGTGTCAACTCTTTATATACCAAAAATAAGATCAAATTTCGCACACCCAACATTCTCAATCAAAAAAAATCAACCTTTATAAATATATACCGCTCACCTAAATATAAATCTTATACGATTTTTATTGAGTCCTCTGACAGTGACCCTACCCTTCTGTACAATAGCAGAGAGGGAGTAAAAGTCACTTTTTCAATAGGCGTACTCATGTGTGAGGTGTGAGTGACAGACACTCTAGTATTCGATTGTTCGAAATACGTGGGTTGGTGTGAAAATTTCTTACATAAAGGATACAAATAGGTATCGGTACATGGCAGTAAATCGCTTAGTGATCCGTGGAAAATATTTGTTTTCGGAAATGTTGTTGACCATCTGCCTTAATTGTATTCGTTAAAGTACAATAGTGCTTAATATAATATAGAGGATAAAAGTGTGCCAGGAAAGCTTATTAACTAATTACGTTCTCTTTACTAACTTAGCAGTAACATATGGTAAAAATCAAATTTCATGTATTTTAAAATAGTTAGTAACCGAGTTTTTGTTGTCTATTAAGAAATCCTTTATGAAGTCTATACTAATTGACATACTGATTAATCACGATCCTGCTCAAACCACTCAACGTAAATAGCTCAATTTTGGCATACAGGTTGATTCTAGGGTGTAGAGATTCGATAAGAAGGGATTTTTCGAAATTCCAGTTCCAAGAGGGTGAAACCGCCCTTCAAATTTTACAATATTTTTTATTTAAAAAACGGTCAAGTTTCCGAAAAAACGCTTAAACACGTATATTTTATTTTGTTTTTGACATATTTTAAGATTTTTAAAAAATGTATACAGGGTGTTTCGAAAAATCTGGTCATTGATTTATCAGGATCCTGCTTAAAGCGCTTGACATAAAAAGCTGATTTTTGGAAAACAGATTGACTTTAGGGTGTAGAGGTTCGATAAGAAGGAATTTTTCGAAACTCGAATTCTAAGGGGGTGAAACTATCCCTCAAATATTAAAATATTTTTTATTTAAAAACCGGTGAGTTTTTCGGAAAAACTCTTAAACACGTATATTTTATTTTGTTGTTTTAAATATTTTAAGATTTTTTATAAATTTATGCAGGGTGTTTCATAAAATATGACCATTGAGTAATCACGATTCTACTTAAATTGCTTGACGTTTAAAGCTGATTTTTGGCAAACGGATTGACTGTGGGGTGTAGAGGTTCGATAAGGAGAGGTTTCTCGAATCTCAAATTCCAAGAGGGTGAAAACGCCCCTCAAATAATATTACAATATTTGTTATTTAAAAAACTGTTAGTCTTTCGGGAAAACGCTTGGACAAGCATAATTTATTTGGTTTTTTTACATATTTTGAAATTTTTTAAAAAATCATGCAGGGTGTTCCAAAAAGTTAGGTAATTTCCTAACCACGATTCTGTTTAAACTGCTTGACGTAAAAAGCTTATTTTTGGCTTCGAAAGGTTTTTGGCTTACCTGGTCGAAAGTCAAATTCCAACGAGATGAAACTACCCCTCAAATATTACCAAGTTATATAATAATATGGCCATATTGTTTTTTCTCATGCTGACATAAATGTGAGAAAATTTTATCCAGTTTGTGAGTTAATGTTAGTTGTGAGGAAATTTTTGCTTTGCTTTATCATCACTGTTATATATTTGAATTATAGCCAAATAAACTTTTATGTTTTTTGTATATAGGTATAGGAATGTTAAATATTTCTTATAGTTGTACAGTGTAGAATAAACAACGTTCAGAGCAACATCGTGTTTGTTTGAGTCTTCCTAAATTATTTAAATTAATTATTTACTTGGCAGGACATTTGGCGACGAGGATATTTTTGTATCGAGTATTTTTATATCGAGTGATATAAGTGAAAAGTGTTATCGAAGTAAAAATCGAGAGTGTTTAAATTAACATTAACGTTTTTTTTTGTGCGATATTCAAATTAATATTCACAAAATGGCCGAAGTAATAGGAATTCTTGGTTCTTTACAGACATTTGACCATAATTCTTCAAATATAACGGTGTTTGGTTTGGTTTGGTAAAGAACGAATTTCACAGTTTTTTATCGCGAATAAAATTAAGGAAAAGGACCGAATGAGGGCGATTTTTTTAAATACCCTTTCTGAGAATACGTATGTACTGGTTCGGAATTTATATGTACCAAAATTGCCAGAGGAACTGGAGTTCGAAAGTTTAATACAACTGTTGATAGTAAATTTATCACCGGTTAAGTCATATTTCGCTGAGAGACTAAAATTTTACAATAGTAAACGAAAAGTGAATGAAAGTGTCGCAGACTGGGAAGCCAGTGTTAAGAGTATGGCTAAAAATTGTGGTTTGCAACAAGAATTAGATATAGTGATGCGTGACATTTTTGTGGTTGGAATAAACGATACCAAAATCATGGATCGACTGTTTGAAGAGGATGCTTCAAAAGCAGATTTCAAGAAGATGGTTAAGCTTGCTTTGTCCAAGGAATGTGTCTTGAGGGAGCATGAAGTTCGAGAAAATTTAGGGCTGGTTTCCATCAAGTCGGAGCCACTAAATTTTTATCAGCAAAATCAGAGGTTAAAAGTGCGGTTTCTAAGAAAACTACCCCAACAAGTAATTAATTTTCTCATCAAAGAAGAGGTAAGTGTGATTTTAATAAAAAAAGAAATCAACCGTCCACAAGTAAGTGTTTCGTTTGTGGTAGAACTGACCATTTTTCAAAAAACTGTGCTTATAAAAACTGTACATGTTTTAAATGCGGAGAAAAGGGACATTTAGCACCGCAGTGCAAGCGTTTACATAAAAGTAATTTTTTATGCAAAGAATATGAGGATGAAACTCATAATAGCGATTCAGAATCAATTTTTATGTTAAAAGATATAAATTTATTACAATATTTTGTTAATACTGATATAGATAGTAATGGAAATATTAAACCTAGTTATGTAAAATTATTAGTTGAAAATATTCCTATTAATTTTCAGATTGACACAGGTTTTGCACATGCTGCAATTTCTGAGAAATTATCTGACAAACATTTTAGAGGTAAAAAGTTACAAAATAATGATTTAGCTTTTTCTGACTATGTAGGAATTCAACTCCATAACCATAACTGGTTATGGAGTGATGAATGCAGTAGTAGTTTTAAACAAGCTAAAGAAATGTTGTTATCTTCCTCTGTACTTGTTCATTTTGATCCACAAAAGCAAATTAAATTAACAGTTGATGCGTCACAGTATGGGCTAGGGGCTACATTATCTCATATATTTGATACTGGTATAGAAAAACCAATTGCATTTGCTTCGAGATTATTGCTTAAAAACGAATTAGCATATTCACAAATTGAAAAAGAAGCTGCCGCAATTATTTTTGGTGTAAGAAAGTTTTTCCAGTACTGATATAATCAACATTTTTTATTATTTACGGATCATAAACCACTTCTTACTATTTTTGGCGATCGAAAAGGATTACCTATTTTTGCAGCTAATCGTCTACAACGATGGGCTCATATATTATCTGGATTTAACTATGAAATTCAATTTGTTAATTCGGAAAAAAACACTGCTGATTTTTTTTGCGCGTACCGGACAGCGACGAAAAACCGGACTCTTGCAATGTTAAAAATAGTACATTTTACAATTTAACTTCTATTTCTAATATTTCTTATTTAAATTTTTTAGACGATAAATGTTTACCAATAAATTATAAACAAATTAAGAACGAAACAGCTAGAGAAATATTATTATGTAAAATTTATTTTTACGTTAAACAAGGTTTTCCTTTAAAAAGTCCTTCAGAAGAATTTAACCCATTTTTTGTAAGGAAAAATGAATTGACAATTGAACAGGGATGTATCATGTGGGGTTATAGATTGATAATACCTAAAAAGTCTCAGTTAAATATTTTGAAGGAATTACACAGTAGTCATATGGGTATAGTAAAAATGAAATCATTAGCACGATCTTACGTGTGGTGGCCTAATATGGATAAGGACATTGAATTATACGTAAACAGTTGTAAATCTTGTTGTATACACGCTCCAAATCCAACAAAAAATTCAATTTCCTGTTGGAATTGGCCTAAAGAACCATGGACGCGGTTACATGCTGATTTTTTTCATATGTTGAATAAAAATTTTTTAGTGATCCAAGACGCTACTTCAAAATGGCTTGAATGTTTCGAAGTAAATAATATAACAGCTACAACTACTATAAAAGTTTTTAGGGAATTATTTGCTCGTTTTGGATTACCTATAGAAGTTTGTACCGACAATGGTCCAACATTTATATCAGAACAATTTCAATTATTTTTAAAATCTGCTGGCATACGTCATTTGTCAGGCGCACCGTATAATCCTGAAACTAATGGTTTAGAAGACGGAAAACGGAAAGTGCAGTCAAAATAGAAAAAATACAATTTTAAAAGCTAAGTTTCAAAATCCGAATTTTGATTTACATTTAACTCTTAAACGATTTTTGTTCCAACATCGGAACACACCTCATCCTACAACAAATGAATCACCTGCTAAAATATTATTAAATAGAAAAATTAGGACAAAACTTGATCTTCTCTTACCTTCTACTTCAGATATAGTGCGAAATAAACAAAACTATAAATCAAAATATTATTTAAGTAAAAGAAATGAAAATTTTAAAGTAAATGATCCAGTTTGGATAAAGGATTATATAGAGATAGATTTCCTAAATGGTGTATGGGAAAGATTATGAAAGTTTTAGGTTCTAGAAATTATGTAGTAAAAACTGAAAGTGGTGATACATGGAAACGTCTTGTGAATCAGTTGAAAAGAAATTATAATTTGTGTAATATACCTGATTCAAATGATGTGTTCATTAAACCTATTGAAACATTAAATGTAAATTCTACAACATTAACTGATAGTGCAAATGTTAAACCGATAGAAGGTGATTGTGAGGAGGTTGATGGTGGTGAGGTCGAGTCGGGTTTTTCGGAGTCGGAGAAGAGTGATCGTAATGTACAGTATGAATTTGGTTGTTTCGTGGATTAGTTAGTAATGTTTTTTGGAATGTCTTTGTTTTGGGGGAAGAGATGTGTTATATATTTGAATTATAGCCAAATAAACTTTTATGTTTTTTGTATATAGGTATAGGAATGTTAAATATTTCTTATAGTTGTACAGTGTAGAATAAACAACGTTCAGAGCAACATCGTGTTTGTTTGGTTCTTCCTAAATTATTTAAATTAATAATTTACTGGACAGAACAATCACCATTACAAATGATTAATTCGACGAGAACGAAGTCGCTGATACACGCTAGTCTTTTTATAAAAGACTTAATTCAGATTTTTCATATATTTTTATATGATTGACGTATTCAATTATTCTTGTTGGTTCCTGTTTCACCGGAAATGACTACAACTTTTGATTCTTAAATGACACCCTCGGTATTTTTTTATTTTTTTCGATAGAAAATGACATTCTAAATAGAATGACATATCATATGTCAACTTTTGACACTCTCGCTTAATAAAAAATCGTATTTTAAAATTCAATCTAGAGTGCCAAATTGTCATAAAAAACACTAATTCTTAATCAAGGAGTCTTGAAAAAATAGATTTGATCGTCTAATGTTTTTAATGTCTTGTCCTGGCCAGTTAGAAAATGCTCAAATCGTATTTTTAATCGTATCTCAATTTTTTCAAATGGAATGATGGTAGCTCATTAGCATATTTGGAAAATCCATTTTTTTACGAATAATTTGATACCACACACTTGGTATTTCGAGTCAAATTTTCGTTACGAACCGCAAGTTATAATTTCAAATAAACCATATGTGAAAATATCAAAAGTTGACATATGATATGTCGTTCTATTCAGATTGTTATTTTCTATCAAATAAAGTAAAAAAATACCGAGGGTGCCATTTAAAAATCAAAGGTTCTAGTCATTTCCGGTAAAACAGGAAGTGACCGAAAACAATTAAATACGTCAATCAATCCTAATTTATGTCATATACTAACATACCAAATCTCGTTTTTTTTATCTAAAAAAATAAAAAAAAGTTATAGGGGTGAGCCATTTTTAAGACGCATCCGGTATTTTACTTTGAAAATTCCAAAAAAAAATGATTTTTCCCTTACACGTTGAGAACAGCAGGACCTTTTCTGGGTTTTCTTTCTTGTAAATTTAATCTACTACTTATGTTGCCCTATTATGAAAATATGCTTTTTAACGAAAAATTAAAAAACTTGCAAAATTCTTTTCAAAAATTTTAAAAATTAAAAAAAAATCGCGAAAAAGAACACGTTTCTGGGGTCGAAATATGCCATCCCTAAAATTATTTGCACTTACTTAAAACTCACCCTGTATAGCCCGAAAGACAAACGAAGAAATCGGATCTCGAATAGATTGAAAGTATCTTTAAAGCCTCCAACCCTTATTAATTTATGCCATTTTTTATTTATGCTTAATTCGCCATCGACATATCGCATAGCGATCAAAACATATCACTACTTTTCAATGTCCTGTATTTGATGACATTTAAACTAAAAAAGTACTACAAAATCGGTTAAATCTCATAAAGCTTGTTACGTTCTCGTAGCTAATATTTGTTTTTATTGTTCCTAGTTATTCTGAAAATAAATCCTGTTAGTGCGGTTAAAAAAAAGTTACTTAAATAATTGAATTCTGGTTGTCTTGACGGTTAGGTAATAATTTGATATAATTTATTTTGCCGATTTAACTCGCATCATCATGATTTAAATCAAAATATATACTTAAGTCTTAAAACGACTTAAATTACAGTATATTGATTTAAGTCTTTACGGAAATGACTTGACTTGATTTAAATCATTTTGATTTTAGAAATGAATTAAGACTAAATATCTTTTTGAAACTGACTTGTTGTACTTTTTGAAACTGACCTAGTCACAATACTATCTTTTTGAAACTGACTTTGATGTTGCAGCTCTGAATTGAAAGCATATTCCGAGTTTATATATTTCATATCAAAAAACTTCTGTTAGTTGATTCAAAATGGCGACAGTACGACCAAACTTCAAGCTGCCAAAATGTTGGCAATAGAATTAACAGAAATATTACTGCGTAAAAAATTAGACGTAAAAGAAATCAGAAAATCAGAAATCAGATTATAGATTAGCTATAGATCTACTTATGGGGCATCTAATAAATTAATACCTAAGCTATGGTTAGGGGATTCTAGAGATTCCAATTTTTTGCACTTTTTGAATTGAGAAAAACACTCGGGTGAATGAATGAATATTTTTCATAAATATTAATAAACTTCACAGAATTTTCTTCTATTCCACTACTTGTTACGACATTTTAAAAACACTTCTTGAACGCCAAAAGTTAAATCGTAGCCATGTCAGAAATTAATCAAGTCGTTTGATCAACTAATATTTTTTTTCCATAACAAGGGGCCGTCTTCTGCCGGAAACACTGCGACCTGTAAGGCCTATTGTGTTTGTTCCCTTTCTATATCTGCACCCATTCTCCTATGTTATGTTAGTGCCCTGCACTAACTTATGCAGTTCCTTGATAGGATGGGAGCATAGTTCCTCCGGTTCTAGCTTGCGATCCAGAGCCTCGCAGTGACATATTATGTGCTCCGCTGTTTCAGGATCTTTATCGCAGAGTCTGCAGCAAAGACTTCCTTGTTACAGGTTGAGCTCAAGTAACACTTGACAGCCATATGTCCTGTCAAAAGGCCTGTTGTAATCCGCACTTTATTCCTGCTAATCATTAGCAGTTCTTTTGCGGTTTTAGAGCTAGGTCCTTAGATAAAAGCCTTGCTGTGTCCGTGCCCCTGTCTGTTTCTCCATTGGACATTCTGCTTTTCCCTAATCCAGAGTTTTAGTGCACTACGGGCCATACATTTGGGTAGGTATTCCCAGTACTGGCTCTGGACCAAGATAGGATGCCGAATATCCTTGCCTAGATCAAATAATCTGAATTTATGAGTTTAGACGGTCATATAAGATTCATTCATACGCAATTAATTCAAGTGACTTGATCATTTGATTCGACTAGTGTAAACGCACCATAACGCTAATTATAGGTACTGCTCAAGGGTTTATATACTCTTACAAAGCATAATACCACTATTTCCTTTAATTATCCCTCCTATTCTGAGTGCCACTCCACCAAGGGATAGGAGGCAATGAAGAAGCAAACGATCTAGCTAGAAAAGGGGCACACACTCCACTAACTAGACCAGACCTGTTCTGATTCCCAAGTGTACCTGGAAGACTCCATTCGTAACATGGAATGAGAACCCTCCAACTAAAACACTCGAAGAAATTTTGCAGAAAAATAAAAGATGTTCCTAGACACGATCTTCGGATTGTCAGAGGATTGTTGACAGAACACTTTCTCCTCAATGAACACCTGAGTAGATTGAAGCTAAGAAACAACGGCGAATGCCTATTCTATGGGGAAAATGGGGAAACACTAGAACACCTCATCACTGAGTGCGCTGAGACGGCAAACTTTCGAGCCATAAACTTTGGACGACTTTCGTATCGGAGACAAAGCCAACCTCTATAAAACGTCTCAGATATTAACTTTTGTCAAAGCCTTGAGATTGTATGATGAAACTCAAGAAGAGAAACACAATAAAACACACTCTACAATCTACATCTCCTTTAATTCAGTTAATTTTTAAGCTGTCATAAAAACCCCACCTAATTTACTATTCCCCCGTCATACAGCTGTAAAGAATGTTAACAGCCGAGAATTATAGAAGTAGAAACCAAGAGATTTACGAGCGGGTTCCCGAATTCCGGATGATATTTAGTTGTCTCCTACGATAAACATCTCGACCCGTTCTAGCAGATACACGTAGCACCACTATCTATTTCAGATCTTCGGAGAGTACCGTAGTACATTAATTTATTAGTCCTGTTCTAACAGCTTTTTGAAGAAGGCTCGTTAATTTTTCCATCTTCTTTTTTGTTAATAGCCAATAAAAGTTTGACCGATCCAATTAAAGTAATTCTCCGCTTATAACGCTACCGGTTTTAAAAAAACATATTTCGTGTAGTGGCTCCATTATATTTTATTGCAGCCTGTATCAGTTAATTAGCATTTTTTTCTCGCTGTTGTTGTTATTATCCAAATTGGAGATAGTATAATTAGGTTTCGTTTTTATTGAATGACGAGCCGTATTTTGACAGAAAATTATGCATATGGAATTTAAGGAACTAATTATTTCTATTGCGTTTTGAAATTGTATGATATTTAAAATAATATTTTTTTTTATTGTTTCATAAATAAATTTGAAACGTTTTATTCTTTTGCATAATGCATAAGGACTTAAAAGCTTTAACAGGTTTAATAATATTATTGATAATGAGATAAGTTCACAAATTACAAATAGATAATAGTAGGTATATTGTTTTATT